CGCCAAAATCCAGCCCGCTGTGGTATGGTTTCTAACTAAACGACATCGCTTAGTAATACCGCGGCGTTGTTGATGCCTTAAGAGGTGTCTTTTTTAGCTAAACAGCACTGCTTGATTCTACCAGCGACATCATTTTAATATTAAACGTTGTCGTCCTAACTACTGCGGCATTGTTGGGCTTACACGCGGTAATGTTTGCGGTATCGTTTTACCCATCCGCGATGCCCCTTGTCTCCACGCGGTATCGCTTCTCCCCTTTCGAAAAAGAGTAAAAAACTCCTTTTCCAACATCAACACTAACCGTGCGGCCCATATCAAGTGTCGCGGTATCGCTGAGCTTCCTTGCGGTATCGTTTTAACTCTCCGCGATGCCGCTCGACTCCAAACGACACCGTTTTTTACCCGCAGTATCGAATTTAATGCCGAGACTAATTGATACGGCATTTAATTGAATCAAAAATAATTTTAGGTGTAAACAATGCCCCCACAACTTGATTTATAAGAATTTATGAACCAAGTTGTTGACACAACTTATACCACCTAAAGTTTCATAACAATTAATTCAACTTTGCTAAGAAAATCCACAAATCACGTTGGCCAAAGAGGATTAGGAAAACCTTGAAAATGGCCTTGTAATTCTGGACCATTCATTTACTACGGTAAAGACTGAACCCAAATATCGGGGCGTTACACTAAATTCCACAGCTATGCTGGAAGACTCCAACTGATTATGGTAGTTATGTACATATTAACCCAATTTTTGGATGACAACTGATGACTCGATATTTGCACATGTTTTCCCTTTTGTTTCTTGATCGTTTAAGCTTGCATTATCGCTTCTTTGTCCTATTTTACGCTAGGTTGTGTTCCTTTGTCACATTTCAGGTCCTAGCACATAAAGTGAAGCGTAGGCGCAAGTTTCAAGTCAATCCGAGATCATTTGGCGACTCGGAGGAAGAAACTCGGGTATGACTTGAAGAAGAATGGATTTATACCTCAGTTTGTGACCATATAATAATGTAATCTTTTCATGAGAAGAAATAGGACGAGACTACGAGCGTCTGGGATCAAACGGCACCTGATTTGGAGTCTGAACGAGGGAGAAACGAAGAATCAAAGACCGGGGAAAATTGGTTTCGGGCTTCTCTGAGAAACAGAAGGGGGCCCTATCGTGACGCTAAAATCCCCGGTAGGGGATTTTTGGCCTTGACCGGGGATTTTCCCCTGTCCCCAACGGTGCGTTTTAAAGATACCCGGTCTTCACCTAAAATACCCGACAGGGGATTCTGACCGGGGATCGCGAATGCAGGCTGTTAAAAGCCTGTTTTGTGCGTTTTTGCAAGGGGAGAGCTGGGTTTTGGATCCCAAACACCCAAGGGACGAACCAAAGAGAGAGAGGGCGATTTGAGGGCATTCTTGGAGTGGAACTGGAGGATTTCTTCGCCTTGGAAGCTCGAGGAATAAGCCCGGACTTGAAGACTGATCATCTGAAGATTCTTACTGCAGTCTCTCTCTTCTCTATGGAGTAACTTCCCTTCACTTAGGTTTTGAGGAAGCCTAGCTATGTTTGTTTGATTGGATGATTTTATGAGTACTCTGACTTGATAATCTTGAGTTCATATTCAATTTATGCATGTTTTCATGATTCAATTCTACTTTAGTCGAGATTATTGATTATGCTTTGATCCTATGAGAGCGAATACCTTATTAGGTCAATAGAGCACCATAGATTGATAGTAGTGGGTCGATTGCTTTAGTCGAGGGTTGATTCACTGCTTTGTATCGATTGAGAACCTCATTCGATAGAGGGGATCTAGTTCAGAACGCCTTGATCGGTTGTTCTAGAGAAGGATACGTCCCTCTAGGCAATTGACTCAAGAGGGCCTTGTTCCTTTAGTCGAGACTCAAGGTCTAGTCAAGGATTCTCCGCATTGTGAATGAAAGTGAAACAAGTTAGAAATCATCAATCGTTAGTCTGGCTAGTGGATAGGGGGAATCATAGCTAAGTGAGTTCCCAACCTGTAATTAGATTAACTTTAACTGTAGTTTGTTAGAGTAGTTTTAGTTCTTCCATCTTAATTTGGTTTGCTAGATAATGAACTGAAGCTGAGTAATAGTAACTCTAGAGACCCGTGGATTCGATATTTATTACTTGAGCCACTATACTACAGTCCCTTCCATTGGTTACACTTGGCCATTGTAAGGAGTTGTGTCATAGCGAGTCAACAACGTTCATACTCCCAAGGGAATTCATAAAGGAATTTGAGAAGATGTGCAGTGACTTCCTCTAAGTGGTGGGGAGGGGGGGGGGGGTAAAAAAGAAGGGAGTGGTTGCTTGGAAGAATATCACATTTCCTAAAAATGAGCGACGGCTGCGTGTGAGGGATCTGTCCACTTGGAAGCTGGCCTGTATTATTAGGCATATTTGGACAATCGTGTTACAACATGGGTCGTTATGAGTAATCTCTGTGAGGGAATTCAGAATAAAACGGTTAGAATTTTGGTCTATGACTGGAAAATCTAGTTCCTGGATATGGCAGAAAATGTTATAGTTTAGGATTAAGATTGACTATGTTGCAAGCTCACAGTGGAGAAGTTCTTTGGAATGGAGACCCTATGAAGAAGTATTGTATTAAGAAGGTCTGGGAATTCCTAAGACTTAAAAGAGGAAGTTACTACTTGTGCTTCTGTTGTCTAGAAGCACCCTTCAATCCCTAAATATCAATTCCTTGCCTGGTTGATTATGTGTGACTACATTAACTCTTGTGATAAGATGCTTAATTAGAGCTATGATGGTCCCACAGAGTTGTGTTGTGTGATAGTGCATTGGAAACCAGAATCATTTGTTTGCCTCTTGTACAGCATATAAGTTCTTGTTTGCAGGCCTATTCTCAGTATACTTTATCATACAACCAAGTGATTAGTGGGTGAATGAGCTGCAATGAGCAATGGCAAGTTTCATGGGCAAGTATGTTATGGCAAAAACGAGGGTGATATGAAGAGCTTTGGTTAGTTTCATCTGGAAGACGAGATGCTCAATAAGATTATAATGGAGAGAAGAAAGGTCTTGATGTTATGTTGGCCTAGATTAAGAAGGATGTCAAAATAGGTTTTGGGAATGATGATTAGGGCTGCAAATGAGCCAAGCTACTCGCGAGTAATTCGGGGCTCGAATCGGGAAAAACTCATTCGAAACTCGATTCATTTACTGACGAAATAGGTTTTGGGAATGATGAGCCAAGCTACTCGCGAGCAACTCGAGGCTCGAATCGGGAAAAACTCATTCGAAACTCGATTCATTTACTGACGAGCCAAGCTTGAGCTTAGCTTTGTTCAGCTCGTGAAGCTCGCGAGCTAGCTCGACTCGGGGGCTTGTTGAGCTCAACTCGTGAGTTGACTCATTTAAAGCTCATGAGATGTCTCAACATTGTGGTTTGAGGGCCAACTTGATCACCGACTTATGGACTAATCTATCTAATTTGGACTTTCATAATTTATATGATTGTTAAATTATATATCTCACATCATGTGAAGTTTAACATGTTGAACGTGTAAGGAAATATGCCTTATTTTTAATTCTATCAAGAAATTATGTACAAAATTGTTTCGATGCTATGAAATAACATGATTTGAACTAGTTAAAATTTATTAACTAAACAATATGACACCTAAAAATTATAAAATAAGATTAATTAATGTTGAACATTTGATTATTTTTTATCGCTACATCAATCACATGTACCATGCACGACATACAAAATGAATGTATCAAATACGATCTAAGAATTTAGTAAACAAGTCTAGCTCGAACTCGACTCGACTCGGCTCGTTAATAAATGGCTCGGGCTCGAGCTCAGCTCATTTGTTAACGAGTCAAGCTCAAACTGGGGTAAAACTCGGCTCAGCTAGACTCATTTGCAGCCCTAATGATGATATATCCTATTTCTGGCTTGTCTAAATTTTCCTAGCTCCTTCCTCTGTTTTTATACTCGTGACGGTAATGGTTTTAAAAGTCAATGCATAATATACTTTTTTTATTCATAAAAAAGAGACGTACTGGAATTTGAACCATGAGCATTTTAAAAAAAGCAAGGATCATAACCAATCAGACTAAGTACATTTATTGTATCCTTTTAAATTAAAAACATATAATAGCAAGGAGGAAAAAACTCTTCCCCCATTTCAAATTCTCTGCTCCATGAGCGTTTGTAGGAAGGGTAGAATAGGGAGTGTCTATTTTTTTCTCTTTCCTCTGTGGAACGGGCCAACTTACCGTACACATGCTGATTTAAATCGGTCTAGGAGTGTCAATTTTTTTCTTTAAACCCTTTTATTTCTCCGTGATGATAAAATATATATGAAAAGGAAAAACAATAATTCTTTTTATTGCTAAAAATAAAAAATTTAACAATAAACTAATGCATGGTATCTAATGGGCTAACCGCTAACCATAAAATAAAAGAGTTGAATGAGTCTGACCTACACGGGATTTGGCCATCAAGTAAAACAAATGAACATCATTGGTTTGACATTCTAAAACAAGCTATTTTCTCTGGCATAATATATATTATGTTATTATTTTATATCTTACTGGCTAAAATATAATGTATTTTAAAGTTATTCAATGGTTCAACCTCGACAATCCCAATTAGTCCAATTTTTATCATTTCAAATATATATTATATAATTATTTGATATCACAATGATTAAATTATAGTGTATTTTATAGGGAATCGTTTGGTATTTGTTAGTAAAAAACTAAACAGAAAGATCTATTTGGTTATTTTAAACATTAAAACCATCCTAAAAATTTTCAGTTCCTTTTGAATTTCTATTGTTTTAGTCCCGAATAAGTGATGTGCAAATGACGAGTTGCAGACTTGCAGTCATATCTTTTCTTTCACTATTTATTATTTTCAAATAGAAAGTTTAAAAGTAAAGAATAATTAGAATTTGACATTGGTCGGTCAAACAGGCTGAATTTTAAGTTTTGGCCCGTTTTGATCAAGTCTAATTTATTATCACATGGTTCCCTGATACCCGATAAAAATCTCAATCCAAACCAGTTTGGCAGGTGAGTGCGTGTTTACCACCATTTTCTAGGGATACGACAACGGCGGTTCCTATCCCAAATCGTGTTGTTCGTTCTTGATTTCCTTAGATTTTATCATGGCCTGAAAAAAACCAGAAAGCACAATGACGACAAGATGAAAGTTTTATAAAGCAAATTAATCGGCCAACGAGCTGAGTTAAAGCTAGCAACGATCATCTGACTCCTCCGTCGATCCAGCTGAGTGATGAGGAAAACGTGACCAAACATCAGCCCATGTACTTTGTCCCTCGGTTACCAATCGCATCACTGCTGCCAACTCTTCCACATTCACTCGAATCTGATCTTTGCTGTCTCTTTCTCGGACTGTCACTGAAGTTGTTGAATCAACAGTAATTGCAAAGGGTACACCCAGTTCATCGGTTCTAGCATATCGTTTCCCAATTGAGGTACCTGTAAATAAATGTCCCCACAGTTGAAATAGAGCAAGTATATCATGCAATGCATCAGTTCTACAACGCACTAATATGAATGACGATAAAAGACCTTGCATGGCAGCAATTCTCTTGTCCACATACCTGTAACATCAATCTTGTGAGAGATTTTAGCAGCAGTCAATGACCTGGAAATGGCTGTAGCAACCTCCTCGTACTTTTTATTTTGTACTAGCGGGAAAACAGTGCACTTGATGGGTGCCACAAGAGGTGGAAACCGGAACACATTCAACTGCTCATCCCCAGCTTTACTAGGCCTAGTATAGAAGCAGTGTTCGAAAAGGCAATATATGATCCTTCCAATTCCGAAGGACGGCTCGATGACTGATGGTGTGAAAACTCGTTGATGCTCCTTCCGCTTCTCCTTAGAAATTGAAACCATGTTTTTCTTGATGGTCATAGTTTTGCCTAGAGTGCAGACAAAAAATTCCACCTCGCCTTTGCTCTCCAGAGAGGACTTCATCTCAATAGCCTCTTTTTCCTTCATTGCCTATTACCCAAAATGGAAAAGATACAGATTATGATCTGCAATGCTTAGATCATATCAACCAAAATCCAACCTCCTCCCCTCAATCTCACCTCTAAAGCTTCAACGATATTCCTCTGATCGGCCTTAAATGCAAGACCAAGCTCCTTCTTTACAGGTGTAATCACCAGTTTCTGACAGAATATGATAATATTATCAACCACAAGCAACAGTTTCAGTGACGTGTATTAAGCCAAAAGAACAAGGAATAACAATCATTAACCAGAAAAAGAAGAAGAAAAATACCTCAACTTCCTTAGGTTCAGCAAATTTCTCAGAGGCAACAAGTGCAACTTTACTATTTTCCTGTTATAGGAAAATGTTGTATGAGGATCTACCTTCATATGAATCATTTCTATAAATTAACCAGAATATATTTCAGAGACAACAAGCCAACACAAGGAGTAACAGCCATATGATGCAGTTTTATGCAAGTAAATGAACAGCACAAAGCAGAAACAACAATAATTTACATCTCAAGTTCTCATGTTCAAGCTATCTATCTTCTGGTATATGCCAGAACAAAAACCAACACTTATGACTATGCTTTCTTCACGATGCTTATAACCAATAAAAGAAAGGATACAGATTCTAACCGTATGAGCACGCAAGTCATATGCAGACCTATCTGCAATACCAACACACTCAATCCAACCATAAGAGCACTCAATCTCTGCATCCCAACAGTCTGCAGCATAATGTGCCATTTCATTTGCCAGATGCTGCCGGAATCGTAATCGTTCCTTGTCTATGCCAAGTCGAGTTAGGAAAAGATACACTCGACCAATGAAATATCCAAGAGTTTCGTTATTCACGATGCCCTGAATGATAGAGAAAAGGAAAAGTATGTAACCAACAGTGAACTGCAAAAGGCGACGACAGGATCTAGATCAAACGACAACAAAATAACCGAACCTTTGAAACAGCATCACCAAGCCGGATAACCTTTGCAGATTGTCCAGACATCTGTTCTTCCCTCGGGAACATCAAGAACTCTAGATTCTCAACTTCCGGATATTTAGGATGAGACTTGTCTTCAGGATCAACAAAATGCTCGATCTCTGCCAATGTAAACTCACGAACTCTCAACAGGCCTTGTCGAGGAGAAATCTGTGCATTTAGGATCGAAAAATACAATTAAGACCGTAAGATAAATATAATAAAATGATTTGCACCCATTAAAACACTAGAAACAGACACAAGACTATGGAAAACAATTTTCAGTCTTTTGTTGCTTCTAATAAGACTGACGACTAGAAAGATAAGATGTGGGGGCAATCCAGTCGCCCAAGCCACAAAGACTAGGGTGGGAAAGTGGCAATGGGGCCCCCAGCACAAAGCTTTTCAGCTCAGCTGCTTATTGTGAGCCAATAACTCTAACAGGTACCACAATGAAACCTATCCAGTGGAATACCAAGCCACCCCTTCCTCAAGAGGTAAGCGCTCGGCCATGAGCTGGTGGAATTTCTTTGGGAATAGACCAAGAAAAATGAAGGCGCAATTAGCAGAAATAAAAGCAGCACATGTGTAGTTTCTCAAAATAACTGGTCCTTTTGCAAATAAAGAACAATCTTATGAGTAAAGAATTTGTGCATTGAAATTAAGGAGCTTATAACCTCATTTCTGAACGCCTGACCAATTTGAGCAGCAGCGAATGGCAGTTTGTTCCCGTTGTAGTAGTAAAGATCCTTGAAATTAACAAATATACCTTGTGCTGTTTCGGGGCGCATATAGCTGCAAGAGAAATGAACAAAAGCACAATTCAATCTCTGCATAAACAAAATGGAACCTATAAATTAAGCATTTTGGAACTTCCAGAATTCAGGTAAACGAATTAAATAGCGCCTAAAAGAAAGAAAATCTCCTCACCCACGGATCAACCCAGATGGTCCAATGGAGGTTTGAAACATCAAGTTGAATGGGTAGGGATCAGAGAGTGGATTCTTAGTGTCAGGAGCTGTAATGCCATATTCCTTGATCTTCGCACCAAGTTGTTCAGAGGAGAAATCATCCAACATAGCAAGTACATGCTTCAGTTCCTTGGACTTCTCAGCAGTTATTGTAAGATCTTTCTGAAGCTTCTCATTGCAAAAGTCCTTAAGCAAGTGGTCAGCTCTATAGCAATTTCCATAGTCATCTTTGACCATGAGATCTGTGAATTTATCCACATGACCAGAAGCTTTGAGAACAGCCTCAGGCGTCACGCACGGGCAGTCCACTTCCAACATGTTCTCCTCCAACACAAAATGCTGGAAGAACAACATAAAAACTAATAAGACCCACATTTTAAAGCATAAGCCACATCATCAGCATCATCGCCAACATATCTCAAACTGTAGCTGCAGGTTTTCTCATATTTAGTTAACTAGGAAAAAGGAACAAAAGCTGACAACTATATAGTTCGAGTTCACTGTAAGTTGATCTTCTAACACAATTTAGTGAAGAACCAGCCACCAAGTGGGATATAAGGTTCAATTTTATAGAACAGAGATAGAGCTAGGGAAGGAATTGGGATTACCTGGCGCCAAAAAGAGAGAACATTGGACTTAACAGAGCAACCAGGAGGGCCATAATCGTAGAGCCCAGCAACGCCTCTGTAAATCTTGAAAGAAGGGATGTAGAACAAGCGTCGTTCGAGGGTATTACCGACGGCATGACGGAAGGCCTCCCTACCAAGAGAGCCGTCGGAGGGGCTGCCGCCGGTAACGGCGGCTTGCAGCTTCTTCTCGATTGAGGACTTGTCGAGCTTCAAGGCATTGAGGGCGTCGACTGCGGCGTCGATTTGGGACTGATCGGCTTTAGAATCTTTAAGGGCGCGGACGGCGCTGCCTTGAGCATCAATTGCAGATTGCTTCTCGGAAAGAGCTCTGCGGAGGGTATCCTCGGCGGTCGCGTCCATCGTGAGGGAACGGAGGGTGGAGAATGGTAGCGTTGGACGGAGACGGGAAACCCAGAAGAAAACGGTGGCTTGGGCGACGGCGGTGGCCCTTTCCACAAGCTGCTTTGAGCGTATGGTTTGCAGTTTGCTGCTGCTGCTGCTGCTGCTGCTGCGGCTGCGGGGAGTGACTGGGGGTAAAGAGGACGAGCGACGAAGGAAGTGATATGAAATTATATTAGGGACACCCACAGAGGCTGCCCCTTCCACAACCTTTCTTTCCGTTTTTTGGTTATGGGTGGGCAAACGTTTGAAACGGGTACCCAATCTAAAGGGAAAGTCCACCCATATTTCAAATTCGTATGGGATAATAGGTACCCAAACTATCCATATATACTCATCAAATTAGTGGCAAAATTTGTGAACCACGGATGTTTAACACAAAATTAAACAAATACAAACTTAGTTAATAGTGAGAAGTCATCATCAGTATTTAAACCCAAATTAAACTATTAAAGAAAGTTAAAGAGAAGCTACTGGCTACAATCAAATAATGGGAAAAGGGGGATTGTCTATCATCTTTTTGTATACGAGATTATTTGGGATGTATTGGCTAGTAGTGTATATAATTGGTTATGTATGGTCTTTTTTATACGAGATGTAATGGGATGTATTGGTCAGTGATGTCTTATAATTGCTAATGCATGGTCTATTTTATAGGAAAGTTTTGCTAATGGGTATTACGGATACCTATATTATCCAAACGGGTAGTAACGGGTAACCCGCGGGTACCCAATGTAGTAATCATTGATCTCAAGTCCCATCCCGGAAAGAAAAATTATGGGTATTTGGGTACCGTAACCCTCAAAAAACGGGACGGGTATGGGTATACCCGAATACCTGTTTCCCGTTGTCCACCCCTATTTGTGGTTGGAAGTTGGATGTTGGAAGGCTTATTAATAATGATGGCAATTTGAAACCGCAGGTATTATCCGATCTGATCTGCTATGGGGTGGGTATTACTCAATCCGTACTAGTATGGGCGGGGCATGAGTATCTACTTCCGATCCGTCCTACCCCGTTCTATCTCAATTTCTTACAATATCTATACATATTTTTCCTATTTTGACTTTTTTTCAACTAGTTAGAGTTGATCTTTCAACTGGTTAGACTCAATTACCCATTATATTATGACTATTTTTCATTCATAAAGTATTTTTCACTTTGTTTTATCGAAAAAAGTAAATTTTACGTGTATTTTTTTGAAATAACATGTGAGAGTGAATCGACCCTCCCATTCCGTACTCGCGCGGGTTTTTACCATTAACGCAGGCCTGCTTGTTGAAGTCCAATTCCACTTTGATTTCCACAATTATTTCACCAAAATAATTATCTCGCTTGGGGTCGGATCAATTCCATTTTTAAGATATAAAAATACGAGATACCATTACAATAGAAATTAAAAAAAAACACCAATCCATGAACCCTCCCAAAGCAACACAATATTGAAGTTACCGTAAAAAGAAAAAAGAAGCTAGCACAATTTGTGTCCCGTCGCGAAACTCGCGATCACTCTAAAATTTATTATACAATAGGAAAGAGAAAAGAATGGCTAAGAGCATCTCCATCAATGCAATTGCAAAAGAAATTGCATTTGTGTTTTTTATTGTCAACTCAATTTTTTTGCAATCCACATCACATTCATTTCATTCACCTACATCAATGCAATTAACTTGCAATTGCAAATATAATTAAATATTATGTTTAAATTATAGAAAATTAAGTAAAAGAGAAGAAAATAATAGAAGAAAAAATCCCCATTTTTTAGGCTTTTTGACTTGCATATGGAATTGCATTTGTTGCAAGCTTGCAAATATGCAATTGGCAATGCAAATTGGTTTTGCAATTGCAAACACCTATGTCGTGTCATTTTGCAATTCAGAATATAATACCAATGTGGATGCTCTAAGAACATTTTTGGAGTAGGGGGCACAATATTGAGGTCACCCTAAGAACATCAATCCATGAACTCTCCCAAAGCAACACAATATTGAAGTCAGCCTAAAAAGAAAAAGGAGCTAGCCCAGTTGTGTCTCGCGCGATCACCCTAAAATCTATACAATAGGAAAGAAAAGGGAATGGCTGGCGACATTTTTGGAGCAGGGGCACTCCAAGTGAACCTGCCACCACCCTTTGACGAAACTGACAGAACACTGCCTCAGAATCGCCCTCCGAGATCAACAAGTAGCTCCAAAACAAAGGTTTAAGAGACATCGGGATGGAGAGCCTTGTTGGGGGTATGGCTAAAAGGGGAAGCCCAACCTTAAGCCCAGGTGTGACTATGGGCCCAAATGGTGAGCTGGGCCGAAGGTAATCATGGAAAAAGCCGGTGGGCCAGACCCCAAACTCGATCACTAAGAAGGATTTGTATAAGATTATTGGGGACCAGGACGCCGCTATCGAGAGCCTAAGGCGTGAGGTGGAGGCTTTGAAGCGAGGTGAGGGAGGCGTCCCCAGCCCGGTGTCGAGGAAAAGGGAGAGGGCCGCGGAAACGGAAGGGACCGACCAACCCAGGCGCCCGCTGACGGGATGGCGCCTACATGACCATGCGGACTCGGAGATGGGCGCGCGAAGTGGATGGGCGCTCGAACGACTAAACCGACATTTCACTATGAGGCAGCCTTTGGCGAGGAGTGTGTTAGCAGAGCCGGCAGGCACCAACCTCCCACCGTTACCCACTTATGATGGCACCACAGACCCCGATGATCACCTTAACGGGTACTTCACGAAGATGCAGCTATATAACAGCTCGGACACCACTTTGTGCAAGGTGTTCCCGTCGACTTTCGTGGGGATAGTGCTCGACTGGTATCACCAGATTGAGGATGGGCGCATAGAATGCATTGAGCAGTTCGCGGCAATGTTCTTGTCTAAGTTTGCTAGTCACAAGCGCCGCACCCTAACCATAGGCGCCTTGTTCAAGACCAAGCAGAAGGAGGGGGAGTTGCGCCGAGAGTTATACGAGAGGTGGATCTCTATGTCTATGGCGGTAAGGGATGTGCAGCCGCCTGTGTTAGGTTGTTGCTTGGAAGATTGCACTATGAGTGATGAGCTATGTCGAGCATTGGCCAAGAGAGATGTGGAGTCTACGGAGGATCTAGACCGCCGAGTTCAGAAAGTAATTCTGTTGGAAGAAACGTTGGCCGCCCGAAGGACAGATAAGCGCCGCGCCCGGGGAAAAGAGGGAGAGGCACCACGGAGGCTCGCCCCGGCGCCCGGACCTGTGTACCAAGGCCCAGTTCCTCAGTGGGCGCCGACAAGACGAGCGGAAACTGGGCACCCCTCATTTCGTACTACTGGACCTACCGTGGAATTCAACGACACCCTAAAAAATGTGCTCCAACATGTAAGGGAGAAAGGCTACCATGTGCGGTGGCCTGGGCCTATGAGGGGGCAACCTGACGAACGAAATCTAGACCGGTACTGCAATTTCCACCATGAGCGGGGGCATCATACCGCGGATTGCTACCAATTGAAGAGCGAGTTGCAAGGATTGGCAGAGAGAGGGATGCTCAACGACTTCGTCAAAAAACTGGAGGAAAGGGCGCACAGGACATACGTAGCAAGATCGGAGGAGAAGGCGCCCATACTTCCCCCACCTCCATTTGAGCTAGACCAGAATCAAGCGCCTGAGAGAGTTCGACTCACTGTAGACTTCATCACGGGAACGATTGATTTGCGTGAAAAGCTGGAACGAAAGATGCAAGAGAGGCCATACACATCGCGTTCAATCAAACACCAAAGGAGGCGTGCATGTTCCCATCCTTGGAGGCATTGGAAATACAAGGTGTGATCGCGGGGTGTAAGGTCAAGAGGATGTTAGTTGACACCGCGAGCTCCATGGATGTGCTCTTTAAAGACACATTCATGCGCATGCAGTTGTCGCCGGACTTGATACGTCCATCGGAATCGGTCTTGATTGGGTTTTCCGGGTGCCTGCGCGAGTAATCGGGTGCATTCGTCTACCGGTGACCTTGGGAGACGAGGAGCAAAGGGTCACCCATGCTATAGAATTAGGAATTGTGGACTGCCATTCCCCTTATGATGCAATTCTGGGCCGACCGCTCTTAGCGTTGTTCAACGGGGTGCCTTCCACGTGTCATCAGACATTGAAGTTCATAGCTCCCAAGGGGGTGGGCGTGTCGCGCGACAGAAATGCCCGAGGTATGCAAAAGAGGAGAAAGCTAAGCGCCCGCGTCAGGAGGAGAGGGTTTACGCGGTAACGGAAGAACCAGAGGAGGCGCCTAGGGCGGAGGCAGCCGACGAGGAAATCCTGATCCCCATTGAGGAAAGGCGGCCCGATAAGCAAGTGAGGATATCAGCGCAGGCGCCCAAAGAGGTGCGGGAGCCACTAATCGCTCTTTTGCATGAATTCCGGGAGCTGTTCGCGTGGAGTGCTGAGGAAATGCCGGGGGTGGCGCCTGAGACGGCCGACCACAGATTGGCCGCATTACGGATAGAGGTCGACAGGCTCCTAGGAGCCAACTTTGTAAATGAAGTCACATACATCACGTGGTTGTCCAATGTGGTGTTTGTGCTCAAGCCATCGGGAGATTGGAGAATGTGTGTCGATTTCACAAGCCTCAACAGAGCATGTCCGACTGATGCATACCCCATGCCCCGCATAGACCTATTGGTGGACGCCACCGCTTATCATGATATGCTCAGCTTCGTTGACATGTTCTCCGGATACCACCAAATTCCCTTGGCGGAGGAAGATCAAGCTAAGACCGCCTACATGACACCCTTTGGTAATTTTTGTTATCGGGTCATGGCGTTTGGTTTGAAGAACGCGGGCGCCACCTACCAGCGCATGGTCAACAATGTCTTCCTTCAGCAAAGTGGAAGGAACGTAGAGGTTTATGTGGATGATCTCATCGTGAAGAGTAAATGAAGGGGAGACCACTTGAGTGACTTGCGTGAAACATTTGTGACTTTGAGAAAACACCAGCTCCGCCTCAACCCTCTCAAGTGTGTGTTCGGCGCCGAGGCGGGAAAGTTTTTAGGCTTCTTGATAACCAAACGCGGCATAGGCCAACCCCAAGCAGGTGGAAGCAATTGTCAAGCTAGCACCACCAAGGACGCCAAAGGAAGTGCAAGGCTTGGCGGGGCGCCTAGCAGCGTTAGGACGCTTCATCCCGAGGTCGGCTGACAGGGCGGCCCCCTTCTTCAGCACTCTCAAAAAGGCGGTGCACTTTTGCTGGAACGATGAATGCAATAAGGCGTTTGAAGAACTCAAGCATTTATTGGCCACTCCCGCGGTCATGGTAGCGCCTAAGGCAGGAGAGATGTTGTATTTATAC